TGAAACAAACCACTTCATATGAGTACATTGTCGGTTCTAATGCCAGCACAATCAGGATATTTTGTCAAGATATGCAGATGATTTTGCGCTAAAGATTCGCAACCCCGCAAATCACAAACAGGAACAGATTTCGTCACAGAAATACATATACATGGGTGAACGTTACATTAATAATCACAAATTTGGAAGTTTCATACTGTTTAAATTAAATAAACTTTTTACAAAATCGTTTTATTTTTTGCGACATACTAAGGATTTTCTACCCTTGAAATACATTGCATAAGCTGTTATAGGCAAAACATCTCGCAATGATGGGTCCTCAAACTGTTTTTATTCGAGCGTTACTGATGAGTCTTTTAAAAACAAAACGCGCGTCTGGAGTAAACCTTTTTTAAGCCTTGTATCGATGATGAGTTTTACTGTAAGAAGAAAACTGTTATACAAAATATTTCCCCTCTCTTCTAGAGCTTATAGACATCAAGAATTTTCCAAGATCTATTTATTTAGTTGTTTAATTAATTGTACATGTACATTTACATTGTACTTTCGAAAGTTAGAATCGATACATTAAAAAACTGCATTTACTGTAGACAAATCATAGTTACATAAAACTATGAAAAAATGGACCTGAGAAGAAGTGGTACTTAATATACTGGAAATTGGGTGCACATTTAATCTGTTTATGCTATGTATACTGGTAGTTAAATGATAATTTTTCTGAGATATCGATCTTTCTTTCAGGATATTTAATTGACTTTCTTTTCTGTTTTAAAGGTACACTCATGACACAGATTTGTAAAGAAAACCTACGAACAGAAAAAACCCATAGCTATTGTTAACATAGGACCCACAAAGGCAGATATACTGGCCGACATTAAAATAAACACTAAATGTAGTGAAATTCTGGACTGTATACATGATATGTGATTGAAAGTAAATAGATGATGATATTCTTTAAATCATTTTATTATTTTATTTTGAATATTGGTGGAAATTTTGTTGATATCCATATCTGCCAAGGGTATTACTTATACAAATCATTTTTAGATTATTGACGAAGATAGTTATACTATTTCTGTAAGAAATTTTGTAAGATAACATTTTTCTATTTTGTTCTTTCCATTTTTTTCTATTAGAACCAATGAACCATTAAGTCTGAAGATCTTGAGCTGTGAGGTCAAAACATGCCTAAAACATTTTTGTCTGAATTTTTAGTAGGTAATTTTTATAAGAGTGTAAAGTTTTATCTCAAGAACTAAATTAAGAAATCTACTGTACAAATCATGATTTTTTTTCTACACCATTTACAATAAGTCCGAAGTAAAGAGTTTCTTTTATATTCATGATATTCAAGATTCTAATATAAAGGTAATGAGATGTGGTCTGATTGCCAATGACAACTATTCACATAAGTCAAAGCTATTTGGATTTTAGCAGTACGGTGCACAAATGTTAGGTAACTTCATAAGGTCTTCACAAATTGCTTCCTGGGGGATTGTAAATAGGCAGTATTTTGACAATAGCTGACAGAAAAGATATTCACTTTTCATGAAATTATACCATTATGATTAGTAAAGACAATTAACACTCTATTAAAGCAATGTAGTGAAGAGATAATCAGAAAAAGAAGAAGAAATTATTTTTTTCTACTTGTACGATCAGCTATAATACCACAAACGTCAGCAATAAACAGGTGTTTATAATTTTGAAAAGTAAACGATTTACAGAACTGCCGACTGACCCCCTCCCCAACTTTAGCGGATATTTCTTTTCAAATTAATAAATTTTGCCAATTGCTTTTAGAACTATGTATAATAAACGAACAGAAACTATAAACAAAAAATGATAATTTAAGAAAACTGCATATACGATTGTCTACAATAAAGATATATGGTATGCAACCCTTCCCTTTTTAATTTCGATCAGTTGACTTATCAAAAGAACGAAATTCTCAAGTTGTTTTCTTATAATACCGTGCATCTTAAGCTGTGACTGCATGCTTAAGGTTTTTTGTTGTTGTCGTTTTATTGCATTTTCAACAAACACCATTTTCGATGCACAAAGCGTTTACTGACTTTCCTTCTGATCATGTAAAAAACTGTTTAAAACTATATTCTCACCAATTTTCTATATCATCCTTAAAGGCTATAAAAAAAGTGGGTGCCTTTGCTTTTTTTTTTATCTTAGCAGATACAAAAATCCTTGCCCATGACATACTGCTGCAGTAGGCTCACCTACAACATATAAAGAATATTTGTTTAATACAAACAGCCATGCAACATGACAGATGGATGCAGTAGGCTTATCTATAACATATAATGAATACTTGATTAATACAAAATTCCATGCCCCATGCAAGATGGGTGCAGTATGCCTACCTTAATCCTATTAAGAAAACTAGTGCAATAACTTTAAGATACATTTATGAGAAAGTATCCACTTTGAGCAATATTACTAGGAAAATATGCAGGAAACCAAAAGAAGAAATAAAACATTACCCTCATCACGGTTGATTGATTTTGAAAATTTTGCATAGTTTGCATGTTAAAGTTGGTGTTATGTTATAATTAAAGGGGTAAAGACATTTTATCAAAATATGTTAACTGTATTTAATTATGAGGGATCTTGAAACAATACAGTCTGTAAACAAAATTATGTACCAGTATATGTTCCGGACCATATGATTTGCACTTTACACGAATAGTCATGACAAAGATGTCATTGTTGCGTGATTTATCAAATAAAGTGAATTTCATTCATACGTTAAAATTTAAGATAGTAAACACATTTTTACATGGTAATTATCGATTTTTTCGTACAAAACATAATATGTCGAAGTCGACTTTTTAAAATAACTAAATAAAAAATGTCTAAATGAACCGTTAAACAAGAATTTCTGGGTTTTTTTTTTCACAGGTACTTGGGGCATTGTCCCTTTTTTTCTTCTTTATTTTGCTGTTTAAATTTGTTTTCAGTAAATTAAAAGTTATCAAATATTTCCATTTTTTAAAAGTTATTTAATTTATTCATGTTCCTATTCCTCCAGTGTTTTGTACGTGTTGTCCCTTTATTCTTATGTGGAAAATAAGAATAGATGGGCAACATGTCTAAATACAGTTAGTATAAGATATTTTGAGAAGGTACATGAACCTAACGCCAGTTGTTTCATCCACAGAAGGAAAATTCGACAGGATAAAGACGCTTTTATTGACTCTAGCAAAGACAATATAACAGATACATCATGCTGCGGACAATACCACTTTACAACATAAAATAACATAGAATCATGTTGGAAATCCATACAAATAATAACCATACACCATGCATAAAATCTCTGAAGAAACACTGTCAAAATAATGATTACTATCCATATTGATCTGTGTTCACACTTGTTTGAATAAGAATACAAAAGGTGCACAAAAGTAGTTTATGGTTAAGATTGTGACAAAGGTTCAATAAATTGTTACGATGATTTAGTAGGAATTGCACATACAAAATTGGTACCCTTAATAACACAATGGCACCAAAAAGTAAATCAAACCAAACAAAAAACAATATAAAAGGTGTATAATGTCATATATATGCATTATATGGTAAGGATTCTGAGAAAGATTCATTAAATGTTCATTAGGGGCTTATAAATGTGCTTTTTTGCCAGATAGTGTTAAGGTATGACAAAGCCCATATCATCACAAAGTAAACCCTCCAGAATCATTTAGATAATAAAATGAATCAGGAGCTGCAAGAAAACATCATGTGAGTTAGGTTCTTTGAAAGGTTCATATAATTATGTCCAGTGGTTCAGGAGCAGCTGTTGATTCAAAAAGAGGACAGAAGCATAAACAAACGACGGACGGACTAACTCATAACTATATACTATCAGCTTTAGAACGCGAATGTACAATGAAATAGATCTGTACTTTGATAACTGACGTAATATATTATTTAGTACATATGACGTACCTCTTAATAATGATAATTCGATAGGATTTGCTTTGGTCAATTTTTTTTCTCTTTTGCTATGTTGTTGAATATGGGCTTCCAACCCCGCCACTGAATTGAATTGTCGCATTTATCCAATATCGATAGTTGAATTATCGATAATTTAACTATCTCTATTAAATAAATCCAATAATTCACTTGTACCAATGCACGAATCTATATACATGTATATCATTTATATATCAATCAAAATCATAGGTAAGATTGTAAAAAATAACATGACTTTTGTAAAGGTGATGCATTAGGTAAAAATCTCTACATGGAGAATGTAAACATATCACAGTTATGTGTGACCCCTGTGTTTTACTATAAACATTCGTGTTGCTCAATCTTCAGTTTAATCTTGGCCGGTGTGTTCTCTAGTCGTTTTTTAAATCGTCGGTGTGTCTGTTTTTCCTGGAATAATTGTTGTTTATAGCCCACTTAATATCTTACCCGTCTCAATGTTTGTTCTGCTTATGGTTTGTAAAATATGCAAGTTGTTGATTAAATGCCTCTTCATTCATTTGTGTATTGTACAATAGGAATAAAATGGGTTAAAAATAATAAAAGCGAAGAATTATAATTTGCTTTACAATATATGTTGAACTAAGAAATATGTTGTCATTTTCTGAAATCTGCAAATGTAAAATCAACATGTCAAATAACCAGAGGAAAAAGAAGTTGTGATGCACTGCGACTGAGTTTCAACGAAACTCGTGATACATAGATAGGTAATGGTTGTAAATAAGCATACATACAATTGTACTTGCGTTTCTCATACATGTATGTTAGAGTGGACTATTATTCGTTTTTACAACAAACGAAAAATGAGGAAATATTTAAAGTTGCTAACTTTTCATAGTTACAGAAAATAACTCTTTATAAATAACATAGTGAAGTTTTTGTTGTAATGCTTTCAACAGTTCGTGGAAATTGACATTTTTTATAAATTACATAATTATACTTTTAAATGTTAAACACAACAATCTTTCAATGTAATAAAAGAGTTTCACAGTTCATTTATTTGATAAAGAAAAGATGGCCTTTACTAAAATTACGATATCGTTCACAGAATTTGTGGAGTAGAATTGAATCTATTGTGCATGGATGAAAAATCTTTCCATATATTTTGATATAAAAGTGATACAAGCAATCTTAGGATATGTAAGTATACGTAACAATAATAAACCTGATCTATTGGTATATGACTGGAATGCTTGTAACATTATCTGTCTATTTGATAATTTTGACTTAAAGGACAAGTTGTGTGTTGAATTTCCACTGCCTTCCATTACATCTTCTTCCTTGTAGACAAAACGCATGTTTATCATACCAAATGATAAGCATGGTACATTTGCTGATGTTCTTTACTAGTTTCGTAGAATAATATTATATATTGAATACAAAATAGTTATACAAATTCATATGTACAATTAATACATGTACAAAAATGTAGCTTTATTTATGCATTTGTGAATAACATGCAAATGGAAGATACTATTTTGACTTTTTAAAATAGAATTCATGAATAAGAATTCAGAGGACAGTACAAAATATCAAATGAGGCAAATCCGAACAAATGATACATGCATCTCAATTAGGGAACATTTGGAACTTAAACTTTGGGATATATATTTTCTTCTTATGTGGAATATATCTTAACGTCACTGCTCTAATAAATTGTTTACTTGCATGTCTTTCATTATTGTCTTTACTTTTCATAAACGTATAATTCTATGGAAAATGAAAATCTTATCTGTCCGTTATTTGAAAACAACGCTTATTTGGTAGCCTCATGGGATAAATTTTTGAAGGCCTGCAAGTTACTTTTTCTTGATTAAGTTCACGAGATACATGTTAAAGGTTTAATCGCAATTATAAAATAGTAAGCACACAAGAGTAAACTGTTTAGGGCATGTTTTGACTTCCTTAACCATGAGAATATCGGGGTTGTAAAAAGGGTACTTGTACATCCAGTGGAGATAATTCAACCCTAGAGAAGAAAACTTATATTTTACAAATTTATTTACCGGTTGAAGTAGATATAACTGTCATCTTCGAGTACATAAAAATTACTACAACAAGTATTTCCCATGACTGCATGATCAATTGATATAAAAACAAATGCATGTAACATATCAATATGATCACATTATGCTTAAAAAGAGAAGTTTCTTCTGCATAATAGGCCCAGCAAAACAATAACCAGTAAAATTTAAGTACTTGTATACGTATTTCGTCTGGCTGCCATGCCTTTTCAAATCCGGATATCTTGAAATCATGTTGCAGTATGAAGTATATAATATCCTACACAGTGGCTGCTTGGGAGTGATTAATCATACCGCACAACCAACCTGTATCATTTTTTTTCAAAACGCTATGGATGCCATCACCCACTGCTGTATACTTGATCAAATTAGTATGTACATCATTCTATATATTTTCTCTTTATCAAAATTCTTGAAATGACCCGAGTACTGTTTTACATTTTTGTATAAATGGAAATGGAAAGGTGTTGCAATTCAATGTAATATTTTCTTATTTTATTATCTAAAAGCTAATACATTTCTTGATCTTTGCTAAAGAGTTCCATTTATTTAGCAACCAGTTAAGAGGAATTTGATCAATGAGCTCTTAAGTATACATGACCAAAATATTTGTGAATACCTATTTGTTACAGTGTTATTTTAAATGCATACAGAGACTTTGATACATACACATTATATACTGTCGCATTCATGTATGACCCATGATGTATCATTGTCATCAAGTGTTACCTAAAAAGAATTCTTTCCTCAAACATAACGTCTTCAATCATTTTGAGAATATATATTTCAACGATAAAAGCATATTTGATTCAACATGTTCAAGAGATAACGGTGCGCGATCGTATCGGTTGCTTTGGCTTTCGATTAAAATGATGAAGGTAGTTTGTACGGTGTTTAATGTCCTACACAGCAACGCTATGGTCTAAGTCCGACAATAACTTCAAAAAAGTATATTAGTATAGGGCATTGCACTTGAAAAACCAACTTAATTCAATGAAAAAATGGTTGACTTGATTGTAATTATTTAATTCAACCAAAGGTATACTTCTTTTAAAATAGCCATCTACTAATCCATTCAAATATTCATCTCTAACAGTTTAAATATAGATTAGGCGTCAAATGTACTTAAACACATACCACGTGCAATTAGCATAATTAGTATAGTAGAAACAAACAACAACAATACCTATTTAATAAAAGCCTTAACTCTTTTACAACAATCTTGCTCTGCAGCATGGGGGTTTAATGGTGTTTCGTTTTGCTACACCTTTAACTTTCTCTATGGATTTTTTTTTTTATACTTTTCACAACAGTATTGTCTGTTTTTCTTATGAATTATGATTATTTATTGCCCCCTATATATCTTTTCCCTCTGTTTCCTTTTTATTGTTTGAAATTCTTTTAGATGCTGCTCAAAACTTCATCTCGAACCTTTGTATTGAACAATAGAGTGAAAATGGGTTGATATGTTTGAAGTGAGATAATATAAAAGCCAGTATTAGTTGCTTCGACGTACCCACTCCGATAATTTATCCTACAATGTGTGTTGACCTAAGAATATGCAAACCAAAAATTACACTTTATATATTTCGTGAGTCTGAAGCGATTTTCAGGATTTATTGTCACACGGAACGCTCAACCCCCAACATTTCAAATCTAAGGATGTATAAATATCTAAATAAAAAGTCCAAAGGTGCCGTAAAAATATAGACAAATTCATCTAAGGTTACCTTTGCTTGAGGAAAACGTGAAAAACATAATAAACAGGAAGAAAAAGTTTGTTTTCCAATATGAATGATCTTCCGTGAAAGGGTATATTTTATGGTTTTACATAAATAGGTAAAGGCTTTGAAATATACATATTATAATTCGCAAACATATGTATTTATCAGTTTTTAGATGTATCAACACAATTGTTTTTTAATAGGGAAACATTCATAGTGACCGACTTGCTTACAGTAAATGAAAATGAAATGTTATGCATACCATTTCAACATCTGTTGTAATATTTTTCAACAGTTCGTGGAAATTGAAAATGTTTTCATCATATTCATAAAATCCCTATTTATACTTTAACCTGTTTAACAACACAATTACTCTACAGTGCATAGGTTTCTATAAACTGTTTCACGTATCGTTTATTGATGAAGAGAAAAATAATTTTCAAAGTTTTAATCGTCTTTCTTTGAGATTATAATAGTTTTTATCCGAATTTGTGTATCTTATATAGTGTAGAAACGATAGTAATGTGTAACATATGCTCAGAATTTTTCAAAGAAAAGATTTTTTTATGTAAATGATAGTCTTTGGCTATGTAAGTATATTCAATAATATGAGCGCATGATACGCCCGTCGCTTTTTCAACGAATAAAGTTCCATAACTCCTCAATGTCATATCAGAAATTTATATGAAAAAAAAATAAAGGTAGCTTATTCTAATAAATATAAACCAGTGACCAAACTTTAATGAAAACTCCTCAAAGCATTTTTGAGTTATTTTCCGAAAACTGGAAAAATAAATTCCCTTAACTCAGAAACGTAAAATCTAAAATTTATAAAAATCGAAAGGGAGCTTACGTCAATAGATAAAACAATTCGCGAAAGCTTCATAAAAATTGGTTTAAGCCTTTTTGAGGTATTGTCCGACATGTTGACATGGCATATGGCCGCATACAAAGTTATGTTAGTTGTTATGTGCCTCGTACAGATCTTTTGAGTTCGTACCACATCTCCGTATTTTTATATTGATTTCTTGTACCAGTTTCTGTCGATAGTGTGACATGTAGGACAAGTGTTGTGTGTAAAATTACAAGCCTGGTATATTTGGCGAGCTTTTAAACTAGTACTGTAGTATACATCGAGAATATCATATGGCTTTTTTCAATATCGCAAATGTATCAACCCGAGACACCAATATAATCCCAAAATCTCTGTACGAGGGATTATATTGGTTGAAGGTTGATACGATATGTGATATTTAAAAAGCCATATCATATACACTTTATTATATACATGTACCGCGAGTGCAACTTATTTAGATATTTTTCACGAGACATGACGTAATACATATTATGGGTTTGATAAAGCCTGTGTAACCGTAACTGATATCGATTACGTGACGTCATACGGATTAGGGGTTTGCTAGAGGGGTTTGCAACCGTGGCTGATATCGATATTATCACGGATGGCTGATACAGCACGATTGTCATTGGTTGTATTTCACATACAATTTACCACTAAGTATATAATAGAACAATATATTAGATACAGAAAAATACTAAATATTTTACACTGTTGACGCTCATGTGAATTAAAGATGATATATTATTTTTCTTATAAAGAATATTCATAAATCAGAGGTCAAAGGACAGACACAAAATTAAATCAAACCAATAAAAACAAATTCTGCATGAATGTACAAACAACACAGGATGTATGCAAACTGGGAACATCTGAAACAAATTTTAAGAACGCATATAGAGTTATCTCCCTTAGTCAATAATTATTTTTTACTAATATATATGTTTTAGTGATAAAGTCATATTCTAGAGCTTTTCTTGAATGTCTCTTTGCATTGCTCTGATATAGTTTAGTTGAATGTCTTTCATAAGTGTCATTCCTAATCAAAAACGTACAATTTGATGAATAATGCAAACCTCATGTATCTTTTTTTTCCAAATACTATTTATTTGCCAGCCTCAACATGCTCAATGGATTAATTTTCGAAAGTCTTGCGTAGATAGTAAACATATGTGTGTCGAATTATCTGTGTTTAGTTCTTGTGATAAAAGATTGAACTATAATAAAAAAAAATAGTAAGCAATCCGAAAAAAAGTAATGCAAATCTGACAAATTTATTTATAGAAGTAACTATTATGACTTTTATCTTCGAGTACATAAAATAAATTGTTTAAGTATGAAACCTGACTGCATAGTCAAGAGATAACAGAAAACAAACGCATGTAACATACTGAGATGATAACGTTCGTATTCTATGAACATTTGTTTTCTGCACAATAGTCCTAGACAGAACCAGTATATACAAAATACGTGTATGACTATTACTCCTGACTGCTATGTCTTTATTCTAGTCATGACATGTTAGGTGACATACTA